AGCTATTCGCGTAGTCCAGGCAACGACCACGCACGCTTGTCTAGTCATTATTACGCACATGCACTACATCCAGATTCTCCGCTCGCACCGTTATCTCGGCATGGTATCTGCCACTATCGTTTAGAGGCTCTGCAGTTGCGTGTTACGACACTGCATAGTTTTAAGGGTTCTTCGATTTTTGATTTCAACGGGCGAGAGGGCAAGACTAAATGTTATCACCTATGCCTACGCTTCCACCCTCTTCCCACACTAAACAGCGCACACAGCAAATGCGCCGCTTTAGTGAGGAGCTTCGCGCTGACACTCACCATCTTGCATGCGTAATCATGCGAAAGACAAACTTTGGAGCCAGATAACTTGGATCACAGGCGTGCTAAAAAAATCTTCGAAGAGAAACTGTGTAGAAACACCGCTGCGTACATTTTTTTTTCAATATAAACATGCCAACTTACCGCAGCCTGTAAAATGTTAATTTTTCAATTTTAGTTCTCTGGGCTGCTGACCGCGTTAATTATCACCTAAAATTCTGTCCCACTGGCTGCTTAACTTATTTGCGCAAGTGGTTTTCACGTGCCTTCGAGCACCTAATTGAAATAAATGGATAAAGCTTATCTCTGAACACCCGGTAGTTTAAGTGGGCATGGAAAAGAACCTGATACTGAAAGTCACTTTACAGTTACTGGCGAAAGACGTCGACAACGATGTAAAGCTACAACCAGGCGTCTCAACTTAGCACAATTGTGATCTGTATGCTCCTTCTAGGATATATGCTCCTTAAAAATTATACCAAGCGTCCTAAATTATCTGGTTACTGCAACTTTGCATGGACATAGGGTAGCATAATTTGGTATTTGGAAGCATATTCTGAGAGCACAGTAAAGGACACATTTTGTTTTTGTTTCAATTAGCATGAAATTGTTCTTGGTGTACCAATCTCCAATTTTATAGCATGTGTGGACCACTAGAGCCTCGAGAGTACTAAAATTTTTTACAGTAAAAAATAGTGTGCAGTCATCAGCATATAGTTTTAGGTTAGAGTTTTCATTGCTTTTAGCTGTGTCATCAATTTAATATAAAATAATACAGGCCCCAGAATATGGTCCTTGGAACCATAGTTTTAATTGCTGTACGCGAATTGAAGGTATTTATCTCAAAGTACTGAGATCTGATCTATGGGTTTTAACTTCCCAAAACCAGCATAGGAATAAGAGAGACGACCACCTGGGGCAACTTAACGTGCATCAAATTTAAGCACACGGGCGTACAGCATTTTCGTCTCTATCGAAAATTCAGGCGCCGCATCCGGGATTCGATCCCGCAACCTGCGGGTCAGCAGCCGAGAACCTTAGCCACTAGACCACCGCAGTGGGGCCAAAATACTGGGATCGCGCACTCAGATATGACTGCAAAAGTTTGAGCGGTGTTCCCATAAATCCATAATAATCTAACCTGTTTATTTTTAATAAAAGTTCGTGAGATACGCGATCGAAGGCTTTCCTAAAATCCTAATACTATGGAAATTTCAAAAGCCCCTTTTCGATATTGCACAGTGCGATTTCTTTCTGGGCTAACAAAGCACTTTCTGTTGAAAGTTTCTTTCTGAAACCATATTGGCATTCCGTTGTTAGATTGTATTTTCTAAAAAACTGTCAGTTCTCTTGTTTATTACTTTTGCAAGGCATTTTGAGAACATGGGTAGATTAGATATTGCACGATAATTTCTTAAGTTGTTTTTATCCCTGACTTAAATATTGCAGTAACTTTCGCTAGCTGCATGTTGGTTGTGAAAATACCTGTCAATAACACTAAGTTGTATATATGTATTAGAATTTCCGCTATAATGTCTGATACATACCTTATTATTCGCACTTCTAAGCCATCGGGATCACAGCTCCTACTATTTTTATTCTACTAAGTAGCGTAAATACTTCAGACGTGGATGTCGGTTTCAGAAAAAAAAACGTGTTTGATAATGGAGTAATGTCAGGTGTGTGTACGCTCTGATAGGCATATCCTGTGTTCACAAAGAAATGCTTAAACTTTCCTGCAAGATTGATTCTGTTTACTATCAATTCACCTATTAGAATCATTCCATCTATTTTTCCATCTATCCTTAGCAACATCGCATGCCACTTAAGTGAACAGCCGTTATGGTTTTCCGTTAAACCCTTAGGGACATTCTGGCAACGAAGTCACCTAAAAACGGGCAATATTCAGATTCAAAAGCGGTGCATGCAGTCATAAGACGAGTCGATGTATCTCGCCTTTCAGCGCACGAAAATTATTCAAGTAGCTGCAACGTTGGCTTATCGCTTTTCATCCAGACCTTGTTGTTTTTTTTCTTTAAGTAAGCCCTATCACAAAGCAAAGCCCTACAGTTGAGTAGACGCACGGCTTGGAAGAATAAATTGTGCAATTTTCTAATTAAGTTCCTCCGAGACTTAGTTTCCTCTATCAAACATAGCTTAACAGTTTCGTTGCTCGGTTCCTTATATCCTGACATTCCTGCCAGCGTCTCACTCAGCCTACATTTTATTTTTTCCGCTGAGATACTCTTGAAGTGTAAGGCAACGAATTTGAAATATTTTATTCTCGAGTTACGCGGTGGTGCTACTGCATGACCACTGCGAACGAGTGTACTTAATAGACGTTCATTTGGACGTCTCGACCAGCTCGTGACCTTCGTCCTTTCCCAGCGACCTGCCTTCATAGATTAAAATCAGCATTTTCGTAAAACCAATCAAGAATAGCCGCATTGAAAAAAATTATACTAAAGAGAGAAACTCAAGTCCTCAATGTTTACACATCTGGGAGATTTCGGTGACCGGTCTCTTCAGCAGCGTTCGCTATGAAATGAAGTAACCCGATGAGAAAGACAGTTTCGCTCGGCAGCTCTCATGGTATTCACCTAAAGAACAGCTACAGCTGTAATTTAGTTAAGGTCTATTGTAATCGAGGTTTCCTCAATGGCAAGGCAGCGACGAACCAATAAATACGCTCGGGACTAAGACCAGCCACGGAATTTTCTCCGGACAAGGTAAATACGGCGGACGACAAATCCAAATTGGATCTAGCGTGGAGCGAGCACGTCGTTTGCGCTGATATTTTAGAAAGCAAAGTTGCCTTTTCTTGGTAGGAACTAACACTGGTCCCCAATAAGAGAACAGTCCCTTAGGCTCGTCTTCTATCCTCCTCTCTTTTCATTTAGTGTACCGTGTGACACCCGTAAAAAGCAGTTATTACGGAGCTTACGTGACACTAGAAGCATCACGCAGCAATAGGATGGACTCGCTTGCAACCCATATGGTCGATAGCTTCACCGCTGGTCTGTTTGTAAAGTTTTAAGGCCTTAGGCGTTTATGTTGAAGGTCACCACCGAGAGTCGATGACCTTGACGGGAAGCGCACCATGACGAAACAATGCGATCGCGGATGCATGCGGAAACAGCAGTCAGTGAGTGAAAAAAAAAACAAAGACAACGCATGCCTGTGCAGCCAACGCCGCCTCTGCAGAATATATACTGGCGTGCGCGCAGCGCATTTACGCCTAACTGTAGGTACATACTATCGCTGCGGCGCCGGCTGTTGCCGGCGGCGCTACTCAGCGACGAGGATGTGAGCCATGGCGCGTGCACATCCTCAAACGTGCTTCTGTACCAGTAGGAACTCGATGCTGAAGACAACGGGATCCCGAACTGTGAAAGTGAGAAGCGGAACAACGACGGAAGCTATACGAGCGGAAGAAGTAAACATGTGCACGATAAGAAAAAGGGGTTCGCAGAAGGCGTTGCGCATATGCACTGCTCATGGTGGCTTCTTTCGTATTACATGAGTGCAGGAAGACTTTCTCCTTCTTCTGCTGCGAGAGTGTAACATCCGCCGAGCTTTTCGTTTCTCGCTGATTCGTGACTTCTGGACATACGACACGCACTAATTGAAGGTGCACTCTTTAGCAACTACGTACGTCCTGTGAACTACATTTCTGGCTTCCGCGTGGGCCACAAATAATCACAAAAACAATAAGAGCCTTGCGAAATCAAGGGCATGGACATTATTTTTGAGCACCGAACATAGTCTGACAGCGAGTACCAGATGATGCGTGCTGTGCGAATTTACGAGTTTCCTCCACGCACGACGTGTCAATTGCAGTCAAAGACTAGGGAGGCGAACTGCAACAAGAGGGACATGTCGCATCTTTGGATGTGAATTAACCACAATTGATCGATGGCAATAAGACGTGAAATAAGATAAGGACTTAGCGTGAGATATGACGCATAGGAAAAGATGTTTCAATATGCACTTTTTTTTCATGTAATCGACCCGTTCAAGCACTGCCTTGTCAGCACCGCGTTGGAATAACGAACATTCCCGATTGCTATATGCTTGAGTGCACAACATGAACAGTAAAGCTTATTCTGGAACTAACGCGACTACCAACGAAAAGACTGAAATCTTTGATGCCACACGTATATATGCCGTCACGCCTACCGCGGATCGGAGTATTCGATGTCCAACGACTTCGCGTGCCGATACCACTGCTCTTTGAATGTCATAATTTTACTGGGCGCACGTTCGCCCAATAGTTTCATATTTACCGGCTGCGACTGATTTCTTCACTGTCACAACCTCATGATAATAATGACTGCTGATCTACAGCTCCCTAGACATGTTTCTTCTCAAAAACGCTTTAGTAATTCCATATAAACTTTTATTTAAATAGGCATGATTTTTAGAAAAGGTGAACTGTAGACAGCTACAAAGTGCAGTCGAATAAACTGTTGTGATTTATTCAAACTTTACCAAGATGCACCTTTATCGTTGGCCGCACGTTATCCGTGGTGTAGGAAGCATCCACCTTCGAACGATCTCTTTGCTAGGCTGCATTGGGTCTCCCGATAAACCGGAGCCAATGACTCTTGGAACATTGGAGAGGAGATTTGCTGCTGCTTCATTTACTTAGCTCTTCTGACGGCAGAAATATCACCGCTCAGAATGGCTCACCTGTGTCAAGAAGCGCTTCGGCAGAGGTCAGCGTGCTAGCGTAGAGCTTGACGGCGTTGCTGTGGCCCAAGCTGTTGACTCCGTAGAGGACAATGAAGTACTCCGTGCGCGGCTGCAGGTTGCGAACGCTGAACACGGGCTGACTGCTGCTCACGTTGAGCACCTGTGACGGCTGCTGACTGCTGTACAGTTCCAGCACGTACGTCGTGTTCAGGCCAGCAGCAGTTCCACGGGGCGCATTCTCAGGGACTCCACTGTGACCCGTCACGCAAGTCACACCCAGCGACGTCTCGGTCAGGTTGCAGATCTGGCAATTGTGTAGTGGCTCCGGGGGCTCTGCGGGCATCGCACCATGTTACACGATACACACTTCAAGGGTGTTTCAGGAAGAGCTATGAATTTCCTGCTTAATTTACAAATTTAAAGTTCGAGTTGTATATTTCGTTTTTCTGTGGACTGTGCTCGCTGCATTTTGAACTGTTTTAGCTGTTGATGTTGAAAAACGTACGCCTTCCAGTGTCGGGCTTCTTATGGGCACTTAGGCACATAATCACAGATCTGCTGCGTGGTTGCAGCGTGCATGTTAGTTATCACCAAGCATGGCTGGCAGTAAAACCACCAGTAAAGAACCACCTCGACATAGAGAAGTTACAAATACAAATCAGCTGAATTCGTAGCGACACATATTTAACAGTCCGACATTTGACAGCGACAGGTGATAGAACGCATGCTATGAGCTTGTGTGTGTGTGTGTGTGTGTGTGCGTGTGTGTGTGTGTTCTCTTCACTTCCTTGTGTTTATATTATAGAAGGCGGCCTCGGTGCAACGAATGTTGTGCCAGCCTCTTCTTTGCTATATAATATACATAGCAGAGACATGCATAAACATTCCGCCATCTCATGGCTATAAAAGAATTCATTGTGTAACAATAAAAAGGGTGATGTATACAAAATACAGGTTCGTTATAATATACATGTTAACATGATAGACAAAGAGAGAGACGAAAGTTTATTTTTGTTGTTGTTGAGTGAAGAAAGGCTAAACCGGGATTCTAGCCCTATCCGAGCCCCCTTTCACAGGCGGTGGCCAGACCTTGAGTGTAGGCGGTGGCTTCGGACAGCCATGACTGCCCAGAGTTCGTCACTTGGGCACGCGCTGAGCAGCACAGACTCCCACTGTTCGGGCATTGTTATCTTGGAATCAGGGTCGGTTCTGTCTTTAATGGCGTGTGTCGCCGACGGACATGCCTGAATATTGTTTTCGAAGGTGGAGCGAGCCGCCCCGCAAGCATTACGTTGTAGTGTATAAAGGTCTGGGTAGATGCTACTATAGCGTAGGTGTGGGGAATGTTCTTTTATGTGTAATAATTGTTATGTTTTCGACTGATGCTTATTCAGCGGCTATCCTGAATATGGGTTTATCAGCCTTGCCCTATGGTGGAGGAGGAGGAGGAAGCAACAAAAAGGGAGAAGCCAGGGAGGTTAACCAGAAAGACATCCGGTTGGCTACCCTACACTGGGGAATTAGGGAAGGGGACAAGAAAGACGAGAAAGAGGGAAGAGAGGGAAAAAAGGGTGGGGTAGAGACTGGCAGTAATTTCACTGCAGCTTGTAGAACTCTACCGCATGTCAGAGGCGTTCACACAAGCCTATCTTTCTCAGGAAACACAGCAGGGCTTTCACTGCCTTGTGGGCTGTCGAGGCATGTGGACGTTGCTGTAATAGCACCTGCACAGAAAGAGGCCGATCATCCAGTCGCCGCATTGCGTTGGCAAGTACTTGTCTATCTGAGGCAAATCGAGGACAATGGCACAGCAGGTGTTCGATATTTTCGTCGGTGCCGCAAACATCGCACGCCGCACTGTCAGTAATTCCGATTAACGTGGTATAAGCTTTCGTGAAAGCAACTCCCAGCCAAAGGCGATAGAGAAGCGAATGGGAAACAACCTTCAACTGCTCAAGCTTGTGTGGGTGTAAAAATGCTTGTTTTCATCCGCGGCGGGGCAGCAATCTGTAGTTGAAAGACATGCGAAAAGCATGTGACGTATATACAATCCCAAAACATATGCACACAACAATAGATACGATCGCATATCGTACATAAATATGCCAACACATAGCGTGTAAAAAGGACATTTATATACATAACTTAAACTCACGTGCTGCCTTCAGCGCGAATAGCTCAGCAAGCTAACGCACTCAGTTCCCGTACGCGAGCACAACTAAGTGGCGCAGGTTCGAGTCCCGTCAAGTTTAATTTTTTTTCAACGTTTTTATTGTACAGCTACCTTTTCTAATGCCTTAGGTTCTAAAACAAAATAAAAGCAATATTGCGTTCAAGTACGTATGTGGGACTGTGTTTTTTGAACAACAGTTATTAGTATTTTTATTTTCATTATTAATTTTTTTATTTATTTCATAATATAACAAAATTAAGGACTAAGGGGAACAATGGGTCTGCTTGATTGTGAAGGGACTCGAGAAGTGAGAAAACTCAAACCAAAAAATTTATTTGAGAAAAAACTGAGCACTTCACAGCCGGACCAGTTTCTTCAAGGGTAGGCCCTAGGTATGCGCGAGACTTGCTATATGACTCATCTCAAGCTGTGGCAGTTGAGGGAAGGCAATATCACCGAGAAGCAGTTCCAAAATATATTTTGGTTGGTGTTTTTTGATTCCTCCAAAATAAGGGCTGCACAATTGTGATCGAGCCAAACCAAGAATTGCGGGCACGAAGTCATCAGACAGAAAATGAATAATGTTGATTGTTTGAAAAATTGCCCTTAATAAAAGGAAGAGTTACGGAGTGCTACGTAGCTTAACTCACAGTAGGAATTTTATATATACATATAGATAGTTTAAAATGGACAGTGTTGCACACACGTACAGACATTGGTTAAATTTCTTTGCAGTGCAGTTGTAGCATCTATGTAGAACTGAAGCATCAAGAGAAGCTCCTGCGTCCTCACTTTATTGCGCTTTACATAGCTTGTATGCGTCCATGCAGCCATGATATGATATATTTTAAAGCATTTGTTTAACCTATAATCTTCTTATTCATTAAAGCTGGCCCATAAGTTGTGTCTTATGTAGCACTACAATTGAAGCGTAATCTGCATGGTGGTCTGAAACAATGCTTTTAAAAATATCAAAACGACCCAGCTCTATACACGACCATCCGTGCATCAGTGATAAGCACCATTATGTGTTTGTACATATCAGTTGTGCTCTCATACTTAATTATTTTTCTGACTACTCCCTCTGCCCCTACCTCGTTTCTGTCGTGAAGCTGTGGCAAGTTGTGTATAGCTGCATTTATATTGTAGGAGCACATACTATCAATGAAAAATTATTTTTAGGCTACATGCAATTAGTTTTCATAGATTTTCACTTCTTTTGTCGGTGCTCAGGAGAGCTAAGCTCATGGTCGATATTTTAAAATGACATTTCTCTTTGCCATTGTTAATGAGAACAGTTTCATTAATATTGACAAGTTCATTCACATTGAATTTAGTTCTCATTATTATTGTTTCTACCAAAAAACGAGCCCTTGAAGTTATGCTTTTTTTGCTTGATTTGTTTTCGTGTGACAGCATGCAAGTAAAATTACAGTTATTGTCATTCCTTGTGAATGACACATTTTCCTTGTGACAGACTTTAGCACCTGGTCATCTGCAGAAGTTGTATTCATTCTGGAAAAGGGCGAACAGCGGTGACTGACAACACAGACTAGCCTGCGTTATTCTTTTGTACTATATGTGTCACTGTGCATTCATTTATAACTTTATAGAGCTCAGATTTCCTGCTTAAAATGTGACAACAACTGTAGAGTTTCCACATTCTTGCAACAATCCACATGCCTTTCATACACTATTGCACATTTTCGTAAGCACCTTACAAAATCTGTATATTTCCGTAAGACCTTACATTCTGCATTTTCCTTATGAAAGCTTCTGTACACTCCATACACTTTCCTTATCCTTCCATATCTTCCATCATGAACTCTCCGTATGCTCCATAAGTTTCCTTATCTTTTCTTATCCTTCCATATACTCCATAAAAAGCTTTCCATATATGCCATACATTTTCCTTATCTTTCCGTATACTCCATAAAAAGCGTTCCGTATACGCCATACAATTTCCTTATCCTTCCTTATACTCCATAAAAAGATTTCCGTAAATGCCATACAACTTCCGTATATTTCCATAAAACTCCATATTTTTTCCGTTGTAGCATAAGGAAATGTTACGGAGTCCATATATTTTCCGTAAGATTTCATACGGAACGTTTCAGTAGGGCCGGGGCTCTCTTGCGATTGAGTTGGCCACCACAGGGAATTAGAGTGATGCGCCATTAATCCCTGCATCTAGCTGTATTCCACTTAGTAGCTCTATCGCTTGATGACAAATCGAGCGCCGGGCGCGACGCTATTGCGCACGACCATGCCTCGCGTAGCAGCGACATCAGCTGATTGCGCCGGCCGGCTTGCTTCGATTTGCTTCAGAGCAAAGAAATGTCATACCTTGAAAGATTGCGTACTGCACTATGTCAAAATGTTACTGCTTTGTAGCCATCCTATGATTCATTGAGAATTGATAACTCTGATATCACAACTGTAGAGCTTTGCGTCGGCGACACGCACCGAACGTGAAACCGCACTACGTCTGTCGTAGAAGCAGTAGGAGGCTGTCGTCTGCTAGAACAAAAACAAAACAAAGACCTGCGAAAATACTCATAAGTTGTAACTTGTTTTTTTGAATAACCGTTTATCACTTTTAAAGTTATTTTGCCAGATAACATACATTTTTTTCAGTTTATAGCAGCGACAGATGTTTTTTTTTATTTTTCTCACACATATATCCAAGTCAAATCCATTCACGGCTAAAGCCACATGTTGTTTGTCTTCTTTGTTTTCGTGGGCATGCCGTTTCGGTGCGTCTATGTGTTCGCGCTGCTACACACGAGAGCCCGAAATGTTAAATTTACGCAAGGAAGCGCCGTTCCTCGTTCGTGTGATGTGCAAAGATTGCGCCCTATTCCCGCGGTTGTTCGAGTGCAGATCAAGTGCGAGTCGTCCAAGGAATTGGCGGGTTGGGCGGGCGCTTGAAGGACTCCGAGGTGACGGCTGACGCCTGTGGTCGCTTCCCTCAGGACAGTGTGAAAGAAACTAAAGGTAAGGGGGACACTTTTTTATGTAGACCAAGTATGCCACTCAGTGCAAGTGTGTTTTGCTGCACTCGAACGAGGCGTCGTGAAACGGCAACCTTACGCGCCTTTACGAGTGCGGTTGCCGATTCGCTTTGACAACGCTAACGCCAGCAGAGCCATGGCGCATC